GACCTTATCAAGTCGTTTAAGTTTAAAAATGTTTTAAACATTATCTTTATGTATAATTACATTATCAAATGTATTTATAAAAATATTTTACATATATAACTTTTATTTCGTTATATTTTTAAGATAATAATGATTATACTAATATATTATAATTTTTTCTATATACCCAGATTATTGAATGTTATAAACGGAATTTATTTGACATCCAGAAATGAAAACTTTCAAAAATATCATTAACATTGTCTCAATATAACTCCACTGATGCAAACAAAAAAAGCATTTGATTTGAAATACAATAAATTTGTAAATAGTATATACAGTCAAACTTCCATAATTCGACTTCTAAAGCTCGAATTTTCTGTAGCTCGAACTAGAAAGAGTGCAACAGGGTTTTAGAGAGCAAATTACATACAATTCTGCTCCCTTAACTCGAACTTCTATAACCCGATTTTCTCTATAACTCGAATAAAAATATTGTCACATGCCAATAGGAATATAGGAAAGTGAATTCTATAAGTTGCATTTTTGTTTTAAGTATGAATCCATTTTGGTGTTAGGGGAAAACCCAATTTCCAAACAAGATGTTTAATTTAATTTCTTTCTTTCTGTTGCTTCTTTGTATAAATGTTAGTTCCTGGCAAACGGTAGTTAAATGATAGCGCACTGCTTTAGAAAATCTGAATTTGGCCAATTTTTTACATGGGACGAACAAGACAACATTCCTTTACTTTTCTTGAATAACATTGATGAAGACCGTAAAATGATGTGAAAGTAAAGTAAATAAAATAACTTCTAATTTTACTCTTAACCATTATCTTAAATGGGTATCTTGACAATGAAATTTATACATAAAGCTTTCCTATAGATGACAATTTATTAAGCATTATAGCTCTATATATATCTCATTATAGTGGATCCGATTCTAAGCGCAACGGAAAGTGTTCATGAGGGTTCGGGGGATGAAGTAGAAGACTTATTCAAACTTCTGACTTTTTATTTGTAAAGGAATAATACTACAATTGATGATCACTACAAGAGTTTGAATAAATTGGAACCTTTTTTTACTGAAAAAAAGAAAAAAAATTCAAATCCCTTTAAAAAAAACTTTTGTACTGTATTTGATTGCAAATTAATGTAATTCTATTTTCTTTTAAAAATAAAAAAAAATTAAAAGAATTCTCTAACTCGAAGTCATCATAAGTCGAACCTTTTCTTTAAAAAATGGTACTTCAAGTTATGGAAGTTTGATTGTATATATTTATTGCAAATAAAACTTCAACTTCAAATGTTCACTCTTCCTTCCCGTATATATTTGGGAATAAAATCGTTATCACATTTTACATTTCGTGCTTATCTAATGGTTATCATGAAATGCTTGTAAAATTTTTTTACAAACGTACCTATATTAAGGTATAAATATACTAAATGCATTAAGAAGCTTAGCGTTAACTCCTCAACAAACATTGTTCTTTCAGTGCAACTATATGACAGTTAAACAATTTTCATTTGATTCGATAGATAGTTTTCAAGATAGTTTTAGTTGTGGCATGTAAGCGAATGTAGTAACACTCTCGGTTGTTTACTATAAATAGAAAAAAAAAAAAATATTAATAAAAAATGTAATGAATTTTCTTTTTTAACTTGCAGGACCAAGACGCCTTGCTCGGTGACAACATGGTTCAGATGAAACACTCGACATCAAGAAAATTACCACAATATATAGCCGCATTAGCAGCAGCTGGTGGGGCACTTGCGGCAGGTACTTTGCTTGGTTGGACAAATCCAGCACAGAATGATGTTATTGCAGGCAAATATGGTTTTGATGTGTCGGAGGATCAGTTCTCATTGGTTGGTTCATTCGTAACTCTCGGCGCCGCATGTGTTTGTATACCGATCGGCATATTAATCAACATGATTGGACGCAAGCTAACGATGTTATTGCTTGTATTACCTTTTACACTAGGCTGGTGTTTATTGATTTGGGCTCAAAATGTTAGTATGTTGTATGCAGCCCGTTTTATTCTTGGTGTTTCTGGTGGTGCTTTCTGCGTCACCGCTCCGATGTATACTGGAGAAATTGCGGAAAAGGATATTCGCGGTACGCTCGGTAGTTTCTTCCAGTTGATGATAACTGCTGGTATATTGCTTGTATACGGACTTGGTGCTGGACTTAATTTGTTTTGGCTGAGTGTTGCTTGTGGTCTTATTCCACTTATATTTGGTGCTATATTCTTCTTTATGCCGGAGACTCCAACTTATTTAGTGAGTTTCTTTAAATATTTCACTTTTGTTTTTTATTTATACATTATACGTTTCGCTATTTTAATTGCAGGTTGGAAAAAATAAAGAGGAACAAGCTATAAAATCTATTCAGTGGTTACGAGGTTCTAATTATGATTATAATACGGAAATTGAAGAACTCAAGGCAGTAGATGCAAAAATAAAAGAAGAATCTATTTCTGTTATGTCGGCTCTTCTACGTCCTACAACCTTAAAAGCTTTATTTATTAGTTTGGGTCTCATGTTCTTCCAGCAATTGTGCGGCATTAACGCTGTCATTTTTTACTCAACTGATATATTTAGGGTAAGTTCATATTATTTTAAGTTAAAGTCGATTACTTAGAAATCTGTTTATCATAGCTATTTTAACTAAAGTGCATTCTTGTAATATTTTAGCAAATAAACAAAAAAAAAAATTAAAATCATACTGTTAAATACTGCTAAAACAGTAAATTGTCTGAATCAGTATAATTTTATTCTAAATAATAAAATCATAACAATCCAGTCAAGCACAGTACTTCAACAAATTTCCTTTTCTAACGATTTCTAAAATAGTGACACTGGCTATTGTTATCTATGTCCCAATAGTGTGATATCAAAAAGCAGCAGGTTTTATATTGTCTTTCTATTTTTATAAAATGTCACAAATATTTCTTCTACTATTGCTTTTAAGACAATGTTTTAAAACTTCATAAATCCATCCACCAATCAAATATACTACCTGTCGAATATACAACTGCTTTACTACTGTAGCAGCAACTACGACGGCGCATCTTAGACCACTTCATCATACCGAGCAGTATCCTAAGATCATAAAAGGTGATTTGAAAATAAGAATGTGTCTATCGCAAAATTTAATGCAAATGTTAATCTGTGTACTTTTTTTTAATTATTGAGATACCGAGATACCGGTCAAAATAATAAGATTTTGATATATGAAACCATATTTGAATGAGGTTTTTGCTAACAAAAATTAAAATTGACACAGCATAATTTTTGAAATCCATTTAAATATTAGCACATATTAAATATCAAATTAAAGAGATATTCCAGAACTAGATACTTTTCTTTATAAAAATCTTTTAAACAAGCTGTACTTTGGCAATTATTAAAAATGTGCCCACTCCTTATACAATATTTTCAATTTCTTATACCAAGAAATCGTTATCTGAATTTATTCTGAATAATTTGAATACTTATTATCATTGCTATATCATTCATTGCTATCTTGCGAGGATAGAATCTGCCATTCAACTCTGTGGTTTGGAGCCATATTGTGGATTAAGTTGGTTTTCAACCGAAAGAAGTCGCTAAAGAGCTGATTCGTTCTTACAATTACGTTAAAATATTCTTCCTCAGTAGAACAGAGTTGAGGTTGCTGGATATTTAACGGGTCACCATGGACGCGCTATCACCTTAATAAAATCGGTCTGTCTGAAGAGATAGATTGTCGACTCTGCTTAGAAGTAGACGAGACTTCCAGCCACATTTTCTGTGACTGTTCAGACTTGATTTGAAGCAGGAGTAAATCAGTGGGTCGAGAATTACTTTCACCTTATGGCATTAGGAGGTCCTCAACGTCTGACATTTTGGGTTTCATTCGAAAGACGGAATGTCTTCTGTACGGTTAAAGTCTGATATTTTAAAGTCAAAATATTAACTATGATCGCGGTCCTCCGCTCCATTCGGAGCCGATACCTTGTCTATTTCTTATCTTATCATTCATTACTGCCAGAATTTCATTTTATGAAAATTTAAAAATTTTTCAAGGTTCGTATGTTTATAGCTATTATTTTTTATATCACTTTCATATTAAATAATTTTATTTAAAAATTTTTTTTATATTTTTTTTTATTTTAGGATGCTCAAACCGGTATTGATGAACAACTTTCAACAATTCTTGTAGGCGTTATGCAAGTGATCGCCACATTTGTTTCCGTAATAGTCGTTGATAAACTTGGTCGTCGTATACTATTACTTGCTTCCGGTTCTGTAATGTCAATTTCAACTATTGCAATGGGTGTGTATTTCTACATGCAACAAAAAGATGTAGAGTCTGTCAGTTCACTCGGTTGGTTGCCAGTTTGCAGTTTGTGCGCCTTCATCATTATGTTCTCAATTGGTTATGGCCCAGTACCATGGTTGATGATGGGTGAACTTTTCGCTACAGATATTAAGGGTGTAGCTGGTTCATTAGCTGGCACAACTAATTGGGTACTAGCATTTATTGTAACCAAATTTTTCGTCAACCTGAAACAAGCAATGGGTAACGGAGAAACATTTTGGCTTTTCGCTGGAATAACCGTTGTGGGCATATTCTTTGTATTCTTCTTCGTACCGGAAACAAAAGGCAAAAGCTTACAAGAAATACAAGACATATTGGCAGGAAGGAGGAGAAATCCAAGCAACGCCGAAACAAATACGCCTATGTAAAACTAAATACTGGATTAAGTGTTTGTTACAAGAAGCACGTTCATGAATTTTTAATTTTTAATTTTTAAACTTTTATTTTAATCCCTGATGTGTATATTGAAATGGTAATATATTTCTCAAGCGCTAAAATAATTCAGACTCTCTTATTAAGCATCAATATTAATAATTACACTTAGTAATAGCAAAAAATATAAAGAACAGCGCTGGATTATAATTAATTTAATATTAGTTTTAAGTTGCATTTTTAATTGTATTTATATTTTATATATTGTAAATGTGTTTGTTTTCAATTTATTTTAACAGATAAGGTTTCCGAGCTAAATGTATTCATTAGAATGTTTGTTTTTTGATTTTGTTTTGTATTTAAATATTACAGAGAAGACTGAACGTCAACAGAGCAAGTAATGTTATAGAAGCAAAAAAAATTTTAATGCTGTTAAAATACTGTTATTCATATAAAATGTATTTAAATATTTTTAAAATAACTTTATGCCGTTAAAATTAAGAAAAATTAAAAAAAATTAGAACAGACACATGTTAAAACTTAAAATATTATATAAACTAAGTCTTTTAATTTTAAGGAAAATACAACAGCAAAAGTATGTTATTTGAAATAGAGCACTGTATGCTACTTCATGTTATTAACAGTTCTCAATGTTAATATCTTAACAGATTGCATTTGTTAACAGTTGTTTACCACCCAGCATATTTAAATACGCAATGCAATTATTGTTGTTTCATTGTTTTTATGTTACAATCATAAAGCATCATGATTTTTTAATATTTGTATAATTGTTTAAGATAATCATTTTATTAACTATATTTATGTAGTCAATTCTAATTGTATACCATTTCCAAGCAATAATTTTGTGCAAAATTTGAAATGTTCCAAAAAAATTAATTGTATTCAAATTTTTTTTATTATTATATACATATATGGCTTTCCTAAGTGTAAAATTGCTGATGCCATTTTAATATGTTTTTTGTATTTATTTACAGAGAACTTTTTATATTATGATTTATAATGCTTAATAAAATCATGTTTCTATGAAGGCATTTTAAAATACGCAAAATGCAAAAAAATTTATTGTTGTAATATTATTTAAAATTGGGAGTGAATAATAAATAAATTTCAAAAAGAAATTTTAAAAGAAAAATTATTTGAACAGAAAATATCATTACCCACCTGTTATACTTCATGACATACAATTCAATTGTTAAACCTAAATTTATATGTGTTAAATATATGTATATATAAAACGCATAAATAGAAGTTAATACTATATATACTATAATATATGAAACTTATAGAGCCAAAATGCTTTAAATAAAACTAATTTTTATTTAAATTTTGAGAAACTTAAATTATTTAGTGAAGTCATTAATAAATCTAATTGAAATCGTTCTACTATAAACAAAGCGAGTAAATTTGTTAATAAAACTTTTACAGCAAAGTAACAAAACTCCAGAAAAATGTGCGTACATAAAACTCAAGTACGGCTTTGGATCAATTGGTTAAGGTGCGCTGACTCTGAGCTTCAAATTTGGCAGGGCACGAGTTCGATTTCTAGTACTTGCAGTCTCAAAAAATTAATTACGAATAATTAAATACAAGAATTATTTGCAAGACCACTGATGATGGGTTAGGTATTTGACAATACTCGAAATAGCTGCATGGTCAGCTAAAAATTCAATTAATTAAAATAGTATAAAAAATAATTTTTATTATTGAAATCAATGTCATTCCACAATATTTTCGAAAACTTAATACCTTGCATACTATACTATGATTTAAAAGGACAACGCATTTAAAACGATGTATTAAATTAATTCAAAACATTTGTTTCTTAGCTCTTATAAAGTGAAACCGATGTTCATACCTTGCTTAAATATTTTTTCTACAATTCAAATAGTCATGATTTACTCTCACAACTTTAAAGTAATCCTCGCAATAGGCAACATCTCTCCAAAGGACATACTGGCATTCTTAACTGCTACTCGTCTATGGAACTGAAGTGGGTATGTCACAATAATCCTCGAGGATACAGTGACGCGGAGACTACTTCCCAACCCTTCTTTTGAAAAAAAAAAAAAAAATCCTCGCAAAACACCTTTCACTGGGACCTGAATAATTTCTGACGAAACATCGCTTAAGTCAATAAAGCACTGATCGAATTGGGAGAAACCTCACAGAAATTGGTTCTTAACAGTAGTACTACTATAAACCACTTATATTAAATTTTCATTTTCATTTTTATATAACTATAAATGAACTATCCTGTGAAAGCAGACACTATTATTAGATCTAATTGACGCTATTCAATCTAGAGTTAATGGATCTAGATGCAGCAATTTCACATAAAAAAAACATCTCGAAACTATTTATACTCTGGTTTGTTGTATAATATATAAAATTTTCTTCTGATACTTATGTATATTTATTTATTAATACAAGTTAACACGTAATCAGCCACACTTCTATGTTTAAATAAAAATATCCGATGAATTATGTTTAAAAGCTCTCAGGTGAGAGTGTTGTAAAAAGCTCCCTCACAGAGGAAAGAGTTCAGTTCAATTTTGGCTCTGTAGTGTAAAACATATATTTAATAAAGAAATAAATAATTGATAATTGGTAATAAAATAATTGGCGCCCAACGTGGGGCTCGAATAAAAAAAGTTTAAGGGCAATAAATGTTAAATGTGGAAGTAATGCTGAACCAAAATTCAGCTCCAAACACACCGAAGTGAAAAAACACGTTTTGAGCAAATACTGCGTGCGGAAAAGCTTGTCTCAGCACGTTTTTTGTATTTTGTTAAACGCGATATTTAAATTATTAATAATTATAATATAGAAACAACAAAATTATAGAAAACAACTAAGTCAATTTAAATTGAAAATGACTATAAATTAGTGGATTGATTTATTTTATAAAAATCCGAACAGAAATAAAAATTGTTGTACAGTGGGAACTGTCCACGAAGAAAGAAACATTTGCATTAACTTTACCTCTTTTTGCATTTTAAAACAACAAACAATTTTTTTATTACAAACAAAAAAGCATTGCAAACGTGCAGCTGAGAGGTGATTTAAAATAAAGACAAAAAATATTTAAAGTAATCAACATATAAACAATTTAAAAGAAAATAATTGAAGTGTGCTGGTGGTTTCAAAAGGTACACAGTTGTAATACGAACAAAACATAATATAACATTTGGAGGAACTCAGGGCGCGACCAGTCACTTTCGCGACAACAGGAGAATTTTTTTATATTATTCTTAGATATTTAAGATATTTAAATTTACAATTGTATGGCTAGAATTAAATAAATTTTTTGAAATAATATTATTTTTGTATTATTATTGTTGCGATAGCCCTCCCTTGCAAACTCTTTATTAGAAACCTATTACCAATAACGGCTCTGCAATAGAAACTTAAACATATACAGGAACGCCATAGAGTTGTTCATAGTGAAAAAATGAATGAAGACCAGCTGAAAGCCGTAATTGAGGCTGCCGTTAGTGGTGCTCTTGCCTCACAGAGGCAAATCTTTGAAAAACAATTAGATGAGTTAAGTAAACGTCTAAATAAAGTTACAGTAAATACCCCGGATGTAGAAATCTATGAGGAAACAAGAATAATCAGTGGAATAAAATGTGAAGAATCACTTGACATTGTCAAATCTCTGCCTGACTTTGAGGGCAGGCAAGAAACTTACGTGTCATGGCGACAAGCGGCTCACGTTGCTTATAAATTATTTCAAAACCATAATGGGAGCTCGAAACATTACCAGGCAGTTGCCATTATACGAAATAAAATAAAAGGATCGGCAGACATGGTTTTAGCATCCTTTAACACTGTTCTCAATTTTAAAGCTATAATAGCACGTCTTGACTTCACATACGCTGATAAGCGGCCTATTTACCTCATCGAACAGGAGATGTCTACCCTACGTCAGGGTAACCTGACTCTTTTACAATTCTATGAACAAGTGGAACAAAAATTGACTTTGCTTACCAACAAAGTAATTATGACTTATGATGGAACCTTGGCAGCATCCTTAAATGAAAAATACAGAATGGATGCGTTGCGCATATTTATTTCAGGTACAAAAAGGGCCTTAAGCAACATTCTTTTCTCGGCACAGCCAACCAATTTACCCGCAGCATTAGCTCTGGCACAAGAAGTTGAGGCAAACCATGAGCGTTATAAATTCGCAACCAACTTCGCGAGGAGTCTGGAAGATGAAGCTCACAGAACTGAACAAAGGCTTCAAAATAATGAAAGAAGTATGGGCAGATATAGTCAGGTAAGCAATTACGTTAAAAGTAATCAAGTTGATAATCAAAACAAAAATCCATATTTTGTAAGACAAAATGCTGAAAAAAGACAAGTTGAAAAAATGGACGTAGATCCAACCTCATCTAGGACGAGACACTGGAACAGTGCCAAAACTCAAAGGAGTAATTATAATACGTCAGAGAAATACAACAACACTATTTTCGGGGTTCAATATAAGGACCAAAATATGAAAAGAAGAAATGACTCTGAAAGATTAACAGGGCAAAAAATGCAGAGAGTGAATTTTATGCCACACGAAAGCACTTCTCAAACACAAGAAATGAGGAAATACGAGGAACTAGCCGAAGAATCACTAATAGAAATTGATGATGATGCTGATAGTTTTGACCATGTTAATTTTTTAGTGGAAACTCCCTGCTACCATTCATAGAGCGGAATATTGCAGGGAAAATTATAAAACTGCTGATTGACACCGGTGCGTCAAAGAATTACATTAAACCTCTTAAAGAGTTAAGATATACAAAACCAGTAAGCAACACTTTTATAGTAAAATCAATACATGGTTTTAATGAAATCAAAGATAAATGCTTCGTGAACCTGTTTAATATTAATAGCACCTTTTTTATATTACCCGATCTTACAAAATTTGATGGAATCATCGGCCTCGATTTGTTAACACAAATCGATGCAAAAATAGATTTTAAAAATAAAAATTTGAAGTATAACACGGGATCAGAACCGATCCAGTTTTTAAAATGTGCGAATGTAAATTTCACTCGAATTGAGGATATTAAAATTCCAGAAAAAGTTAACGAAAAATTTCAAAAATTATTAAAAAGTGAACAAACGGTATTTGCTGATCCTGACGAATTACTTCCGTTCAACACAAATATTGTAGCTACCATTCGAACTGAGTGTGACGATCCCATTTATTCGAAACTATATCCTTATCCTATGGGCGTAGCAGATTTTGTGAATAAAGAAGTGCGTGACTTGCTAAGAAATGGTATAATTAGACCATCTAGATCGCCATACAATAATCCAATATGGGTTGTTGACAAAAAGGGAGTTGATGAACATGGCAACACAAAAAAACGTCTTGTAATTGATTTCAGAAAATTAAATCAAAAAACGATAGACGATAAATATCCCATCCCTAACGTGATGGTGATACTCGCCAACTTAGGAAAAGGAAAATATTTTACAACTCTCGATTTAAAATCTGGCTTTCACCAAATAGTTTTGGCAGAAAGAGATCGCGAGAAAACTGCTTTTTCGGTCAACAGCGGAAAATACGAATTTTGTAGGCTACCATTTGGCTTGAAGAACGCACCCAGCGTATTTCAAAGGGCTATTGATGACGTGCTTCGAGACCAAATTGGAAAGACATGTCACGTTTACGTCGACGACGTTATCGTATTCTCAAAAACAGAAGAAGATCACATTAAACACATAGCGTGGGTCTTGAGGAAGTTGAACGAAGCCAATATGAGGATTTCACGGGAGAAGTCCCATTTCTTTAAGGAAAGCGTTGAGTACTTAGGTTTCACGGTAACTGGAGAGGGTATTCGAACAAGCCCAAGTAAAATAGAGGCAATTCGAAACTATACTGAGCCAACGACATTATTTAATGTCAGGTCATTTATGGGCTTAGCGAGCTATTACAGATGCTTTATAAGAAACTTCGCCTCAATAGCCAGGCCACTTACAGATATCTTTAAGGGCGAAAATGGTAGAATTAGCACTCACCAATCGAAGAAAAAACAAATAGAGCTAAACAACAGTCAGCGTCAAGCTTTCAACAAGCTCAAGAAAATTTTGATGTCGGAAGACGTCTTGCTCCAGCATCCAGATTATGGAAAACCATTCGACCTAACAACGGATGCGTCATCTTTAGGATTAGGCGCTGTACTATCACAAAGCGGGAAGCCGATAACTATGATATCGAGGACCTTGAAAGACAACGAAATGAATTTCGCTACCAATGAAAGGGAATTACTCGCAATTGTTTGGGCTCTAAAGAATCTCAGAAATTATCTATATGGTGTTAAAAATTTAAATATTTTTACTGATCATCAACCTCTGTCGTTTGCGGTTTCAGACCGAAACCCCAACGCGAAAATTAAGCGGTGGAAAGCGTTCATAGATGAACATAATGCCCAAATTCTTTATAAGCCAGGAAAAGAAAACTACGTAGCCGATGCGCTATCACGGCAGAACATTCATGCGCTTGAAAATATGCCTAGTTCTGACGCAGCCACCATCTACAGCGAATTATCAATGTCTTATGCAATTGAAGCGACTGATAAGCCAGTGAATTGTTTCAGAAACCAAATCGTCATTGAACGAGCAAATGTGACATCGACTCGTACTTTTATAATCTTCCGCGAAAAAACTAGACACTTGATCAATTTTTTCAATGAAGAAGAACTATTGGAGAGTGTTAGAGAAGCAATAAAACCTGACGTAGTAAATGCAATTTACTGTGAGCTACCAATTATTGCTTGTATCCAGAATGAGCTCGTCAAGGCGTTTCCGTCTACAAAATTTTGGTACTCCAAGCATTTCGTCATGGACATATACGATAAAAACGATCAACGGGACATAGTAACAATAGAACACAATAGGGCGCACAGGGCCGCACAGGGCCGCACAGGAAAATGTTAAGCAGATCTTGCGCGAATATTTTTTCCCAAAAATGACAAAATTGGCCAACGAAATCGTTGCAAATTGCAAAACCTGCTCAAAGGGTAAATACAACAGACATCAAAAAAAACAACTAATCGGCGAAACCCCGATTCCATCATATGTTGGTCAAATTCTTCATGTAGATATATTTTCCACAGATGGAAAATATTTTCTCACATGTATAGATAAGTTTTCGAAGTTTGCTATAGTGCAACCCATTGCTTCACGAACAATTGTGGATGTGAAAATTCCAATTTTACAATTGATGAATATCTTTCCAAAAACAAAAACAATTTTTTGTGACAATGAAAAGTCACTAAATTCGGAAACCATCAGGTCTACATTGACAAATACCTTTAATGTGACGTTAGCTAACGCTCCTCCCTTACACAGTACGTCTAACGGCCAGGTAGAAAGGCTACACGGCACATTAATAGAAATTGCTAGGTGTCTGAAAATAGATAGGAAAATTGACGACACAGTCGACCTTATTATACAGGCAACCATAGCATACAATGGGTCAATTCACACCACAACCAAAAAGAAACCCATAGATATTCTTCATTCAGCTACACCTGAACTACAACAGGAAATAGAGAGCAAAATTAGAGAAGCCCAAGAAAACCAGCTAAAACAGCATAATAAAGCGAGGCAGAATAGAACCTTTCAAGTGGGCGAAACAGTTTTCGTCAAAACAAATAGAAGACTGGGAAACAAAATAACTCCATTGTGCGTCGAAGGAAAGGTGGAAGCAGACCTAGGATCATCTGTCCTCATAAAGGGAAGGGTGGTCCATAAGGACAACCTTAGGTAATATTCTGTAGTGGTTTGCAAGGGCGAAGCGAGCTGATGCATTCACAATACTAATGTTCTAAGAGTATTCTCTATTACACAATTGTATGATTTTAACTATTGTTAAACTATTGTTTATATTTAACTATTGTTATATTTAATATATTGTTATCTAACTATTGTTATATTTTTTAATAATAACATATTTTTGTTTTATATATTTTGTTAAATATTCCAATAATTGCTAACTTATTGTATTCAACGCAAAAAGAGACCGAGGACGACTCTTACTTAGCGAGGGAGGAGTTAACACGTAATCAGCCACACTTCTATGTTTAAATAAAAATATCCGATGAATTATGTTTAAAAGCTCTCAGGTGAGAGTGTTGTAAAAAGCTCCCTCACAGAGGAAAGAGTTCAGTTCAATTTTGGCTCTGTAGTGTAAAACATATATTTAATAAAGAAATAAATAATTGATAATTGGTAATAAAATAATTTACATTCCTTCTATTAATAGTTTCCTACTAATCACGATGCTAGTATAGATACGATTTGCTTATCACATTGTTATAATATTTTCGAAGTAACAGAACACAAATAGATTTTCAACAAGCTTCTTTCTAATATCTCTATGGATAAAACACATCTTTCTTGTGCGGCACTAGCAATAGTTAGTGCTAAATAGTTACTTAACACACTTAAATTCATATATCATTAATACATGCCTCAATTACAGCACTATTCTTCATATGTTCTTCTGTCCATACGAATTGAACTATTGTAATTTATTTATATTCCTAATTTCATAGTTCCCATAAAAGTTGCAAGACCATAACAACAATATCGACATGCTATTGAATTATTATAATCATTAAACAAAGAAATGTTAATAAACGTCACAATAAAAGTAATAAATACTTCGAGATAAGCGATTTGGTATATATTATAGGTCAATTGGTATTACTATAAAAGTACTGTGTATGCCCTGTCAACAACAACCCTAGATTTGTACACTTATTGCGATAATACCACCACTTTTAATGCGTCTCTATTTTAATTTCTATAAAGAACGCCTTCTCTTCTCAATGAACTATATATATAAAGATTTGATGCAAAATGTGTTTATAAAAATGAGGGGTACATATATTAAAAATAGTTTTATTGTTTTCTGAAAAGTATAAATTAGATAATAGTATTTACATTATTTCATATCATAACATAAGATAGATTTCTATAATTCAAAGAAAATATCTTTGTGAAAACTTTGACAAGGTGAGGTGAGTATCATATTTCGAACATCAAATTAATGTGAATTACCAGAATTACAGGTAAAACTACCACATAATCAAAAATAGTTTGAAAAATATATGTTAACTGCATATATAGAAATAAAAAGCAAAATATTTCAGTTATAAATTGAAGATTCGCTACCGTGAATAGTTTAAGTAATATTTAAAATATTAAAACGTATAAATTGTGAATAATAATTAAAATTCATTCAAATATAGCATGATAGCCTCGATTTATTTTTTTTATTATTTTATTAATTGAATTTAGTAGGATTAATTATACAATTTTTCATAAAATGTTTTTTATTTCCATACATTTCTTGGTTTATTTACTTTTGTTATAAAAGAATTTGTAGTTGCTCAAATATTTTAAAATTTAACTAAAGTTAAGTATTGTTTGTTTTATACACATGTTTGTCTTCTAGTTAGAGCAATCATTTCAGAATTAAAGAGTTATTAAGATGTACAGAAAGTCTTTACGTATGTCAATTCCTTTGATACAGATACAATATATTCAAAAACTAATTATGTTAAGTTTCAAATCTACAAGAAATGTAAATTTATCATATTTATTAATTATAATTATATTATATTAATATATTCAACATTGTAACAAATTTAATGGTAATACAATATTTATTAGAAAACATTTATAGTAGTTATGATAACTATTTGGCCGTTAAGTTGTTATATATTAATATATACTTATGTTTGTTTTTGTATCTGTATTACGTTATTTTGTCAATTTAATACTAAAAAAGAAATAAATAAATAAATAGCGAAAACTTACAGTAATTTAATCCAAAATAAATCCTGCAATGAATGGCAGACCTGTTGGCACTTTTTGTTGATATTTATGATAATCCGAACGAAAAAAATTCAATAAAGTTGCTTCTTCTATATATATACGATCATGGAAAAATTTCCAACTAACAATCGTGTAAATCACAATGCATATTGGATTCATAAGTATAAATTGAGTACCTATGGACCACCAAAACCAACCAACATACGATGGATGACGCATGTAGGCATAAACACCATGCGTTATGAGTTTCTGTTCTTCTGATTTTTCAAATTGAACCTAACATTATTGACAAAAACATAAGTATTCATATTAAACATCAATGATAAATTTTTTTAATATATAAATACTTACTAAATGTGTAAAACTATTTTGTGCTGTAATTATGGCCGTTTTACGTATCACTTCACCAATTATACAAAGTGCAACACCTAACAGCCATATATAGTACTTGCTTTTAAATTCTGGCAACAAACTGACTTCTAATGCAAATTCTAACCAGCTGGCAGCTGCTGCAATACCATAATGAATTGAATGATTAAGCATAAAGGAGTCCAGGGACAAACTTCGAGGGCAAGACCATGCAATCGCAAGGAATTCTGAGTAATGAAAGAACGCCATGAAAAACCCATATACTCCAAACTGTTTCCAGACAGTTGGTGCAAAAAGTATTAATAGTATGCTAACTGCTTGTATAAATCCCAGCAATGATGCACGTATCGCTACCTGTAATCGTAAATAGTTACTAATTTATTCTACTCATTAAATCTGAAGGCACGTTGTTTTATTGTATTATGTTAGATTAACATTGTTTTGTCATAAATTAGTCCATTGCATAGAAATCAACGACTCGAAAATTAGAATTAAGTTTTACCTGATAATCATTTTTTCTTAGAATAAATCGTATAATCATATTGATTAGAGCATAGTAAAGCACAGGGCCCCAAAGGACTGCACCCCAAATATTCGGTACAATCCCATAGTATATTTGTGGCACGGACGGTAAGAGAATTAAAGCTGCAGTTCCAAGGTAGCTATACAAGCTTATATGACCATCTCGACACAGTTTACGCACTGTTTCACATTTACGGGTCATTTGAAATAAATACGTCTATATATTATTACTTTTCTAAGTTCTTTTACATGTACGAATCCAATAGTAACTTTTCCAGCGATATTTTAGTTAGAATTTTAAAGCCGCTTATCAACTTTCACAGCTGTGTTCCCGTGTTGCCCATGTGCGCTCTAAAACATGTCTACTACGTATTTACGATCATACTTTTACACTTACGTGCAAAATGTTTGCTCTGCAGGGCCCATTTCACACTTGCGGCTATATGCAGAAAGCACATTATGTGCATATGATCCAAAAGGCATATAACCACTTTCACATACACTGGCGTCGGCAAAAACATAAATTATGTTATTTTATGCTTTTTATTATGGTTTAAAAAATATTATTTAAATAATAATAGGTGCTTTCGGCAGCTTTAAAGTGTGCCAAAAAACAGCAAATTGATAATAATAGGCGCTAAACGAGATATTGGCATCACTATTGCAATCTGTTAAATGTTAAGTTTTCAGAAAAAACAAATCTTGCATATGTGAACATAATGCAAGTAAATTACATTTTTTATAAAAGTAAATAATTAAGTTAAAATTAAACATTAAAATGAACAATGAATTTAAAGCAATGTTAAAAATGTAAGATATTTTGAAATTTTCTTTTACAAAAAAATTAATAATAATTTACACTATTAATGCCTTAAAAGTATAACTTTATAGCAGCTAATAAGTCAAAAATTTTTTAATCATATTTTCGTCATATATTTTTAAAGTATTTCACTTATACTATTTTGCATGTTTTAAAAATATATCATTTCCACAATTTTCAAATTTATGAGACTTTTTAATATTGTTTGTATTTTCGTTTACACACTTTTGACACATGACTGGGATACAATAGTTTGCTTATTGCTTTAGTAACATTTCTTTTACAGTTACTAAAATGTTTGGCTATTTAACAAGTAGATGCTTAGATAGGCAAAGTAGTGTTGTTTTGCGTACAAATGAACAACTTTTAACTGTTCTTTATCACATTTAAAAGCTGCCGAAAGCACCTAAAACAATAAAATTTAATTATATGTTCTTATTAATTTGTATAATATGTATACCGTATATAAATTTAACCTGACTATTTTTTTAATTTTATTAATTAATACATACGCAAAACACGATAAATATATAAATAATGCATCATATTCTGATTATACATCAACGAAAATAATTTCTTCTGATGCTTATCATTTGATTCTATAATGCAGTCAAGCGACTGCTCAAGCTGACAGGAGAATAATTTTCTATTACAATAGGCCTTTTCTTTCATAAGCATATCGCAAAAGAACAACCAGAAATTTTATCAAGTTTGTATATGCAAAACACAATAAAATTTAAGGTTAAAATTTCTAAAATTCATTAATTACAGTATTAATAAAAATAATTTCATAGTTAATTATTTATTATTTATTTTTGTGGATTAATAATAAAGCATTCTATTAACAAAACATTATTATTTCATAACCATGTTATTGTATAAATACCTTATTATTTTTATAATATATCACTTGTAAAACTTCGCATATTCGATACAATTAATAAAGTTTCAATTAACTTAGAAAATGCAAAAATTTTAAAAAATTACCACCAAGGTAAATTTTGATAATAATACATATCTTTAAGAACTCGATTTGGTAATTAAATTGAAAGTTTGATATATATGCGGTGAAGAAAATATCTGTTATAAAAAAGAAATATATGTTATAAAAAACTACATATAGGCCGTGTGCGAGTTCGAGTGAATTGATGGTAAATTGAGGGAAATAGTAAATTATGTCGGTATGGCAGCGAATGTTGGTATTTACCAGAATTTCGAGTAGGGTAAATTAGATAAAAATTAAGTTAATTAGCTATTACCATTGTGAAAATTTTATAAGATGTTTAATAAATAAATTTGAAAAATTTAAACCAAAAATAATAAATAAATACAATAAATAATTAAATAAGTATTTATATATGTGCAGTGCAAAAATCCCTATGAAACTTCAATTTACTTTACCTCAATTTACTCGAACTCGCACACGCCCATATAAAATTTTAATTGCATATACTGAGTTTTATGATATAGTTATATAAGAGCAAAGGAACCTAAATTAACAAATTTTTTTCCAAATATTTTTATAATCATACACAACACTGAAAATTTTGACATATACTTAAAAACTTCATTAGAAAGAAAATTCATTTCATTCTGAAGTTTTGTACTCGACAGTTGTACGTTGTACGTGTCGGTGTTTTTGCTAAAGAGATTTTGTTAAATATCAAATTGGTTAAAATTAAGAGTGCAATATGGTAAGTTTTAAAGAAACTTACCAGAAACTTACTTCTTTTTTTTTTAAAGAAGTATTTTATAATAAATTCGCTAGAGAATATTCCAGATGTTTCTTTGTTTGCAAGCCGTTCTGAATGTGTCGGCGTGCGAATGATTGTGTAATACATGATTGCTTGTGTTACTTGTCTTAATATAATAAATTTATTTAATACACAGAATTTAATTGTTTCTTATATAACTTTTAGGCTGCTAACGCAATTAAGAAAATTGTCCCCATGCTTGACCGCATTTTGATTCAGCGTGCTGAGTCGGTTACCACCACCAAGGGCGGTATTGTTTTGCCAGAAAAGGCAGTTTCAAAGGTCCTACAAGGGACAGTTGTAGCGGTTGGGCCTGGCTCCCGCAATCCAGTAAATTAATATTAATTTAATATAAAGACGTTTAAGAATTAACCATTTTTTATATTATAGCAAAGTGGCAATTACATCCCAATGGGCGTTAAGGAAGGTGATCGTGTCTTGTTGCCGGAATATGGAGGTACTAAGGTTGAGTTAGAGGACAAGAAGGAGTATATGCTATTCCGTGAATCTGACATTTTAGCTAAGCTAGAATAAATTAGTACTTCTAGTTTTTACAATGTCAATCAGCAGTTCATTTAAACATTAAAAAAAAATTCCATTAATAGTTTAGATTTGTACGATTAAATCAAATTTAAACGTTTGTTGAAATTAAATAAAACGGTTTTACGCTTTAATAACATTTCTTAGTTTTATTTAATTTTTTTTTTAGATATATATGACAATTAGTGTAGTTTTATATTGGATAGTCCGTATACTTGATTCATAGCAGAACGCTCTCTAATATCTGGAAGACCTTCAACAGCAGCTCGCTCACGGGATATTTTCACTAAGGCTTCAAAAGATCTTGGTTCCCATATAGCTAGGTCTGCAAGCATTTTTCTGTTGACAAAAGAAATACACATCACCTTTATGCTTATTATAACTTTTACTTGACCAACCTGTTTAAAAGTATATCGCTTCTAACCAAGCACTCCTTAAAGGTTTGCAAAGGTAGCCCATATTGCTCACAACCAGCAGCGACTCTTGTTGACCATAACTAATATGAAAAAAAAGTACATAAAATGTAAATATAATAAAATGTGTAAATAAGTAGCTTTTTATTTTAACAAATCATTTAGTGTACCGTTTTAATAGAACTTTTATAGTTGTATAAAAAATGAAACATTTATTATTTTATGTGAAACTACATTGTCATCCGATTTGATTGAAATGCTTTTACTTCTTTTAACATAGGTTTTGAAATCTATAATGGAATACTTTAAAGCAATGTTCGCAGTTTTATTCAAAACTATAACCTTTTTAATTTAAATTAATGCCCAAATGCATGAATTCAAAAATTTCTATTTGGGAGAAAATGCAGACATTTTTGGAACAATGAAAAAAATTTATTACAAAAGTTTATCTTTAATAAAGTGAATTATTTTTTCGCTGACTATATACTGTCTAATATTTATCATCATTGGTATTTGGAAATATTTTTAGGTTTCAAGTGAAATTAATACAAACATGTTAAGTTTGAACCTAAGCCAGTTAAAACGCAGCAAGAGTTAATTATGTTTCCATATAAAATAATACATTGCTGGATCCCTCGAAAATATTGAGCCAATTGCTTGTACAAATAACATAGAGCGTTCGTTCCTCTCATTAGTGGCACAATAATGAAGTTTCTTATTTAGGGTACAACGCAACAATAGTTACATATTAAACAGAATTACATTACATTGGCATATAACATTAACGAATGATTGAAGGGTTAAGTTGAAACAAAAATAAAATGTTTGAATTAAAACTTTAGGGATAGGAAGCTTGATTTCTTATATTATTACAGCTTCCATCAAATTCAGTATGATATATAGTAAAATATAATTAGTATTTTTTGTTTATTTTTTTGTTTAAATTTTGTAATTTTTTTCCGAAAACTAAAATATGTTTGTGGTTGATAAGGTAAGGAGCTAGGAAATAAAAAGTGAAAACTTCTAAAGGGTTTCCAACTGACGAAATTTTAATTACAATGTTTACTTTATATAGAAAACTATAATGTAGGATATATATTTTGTTATTATTCATTAAATAATATTTACCTCGGCCATGTCTAATTTTTTTAGTTTCCTTCCCTTCGTCGCATACGCCAATGCACGATGAACAAGGCGTATTGCTATTGTATAACAATTGCGGCCGCGTCCACGGAAATGCTAAGATTAAATAAGTTTTTTTCATTATATTACATAAAAAGGAAATTTATTATTTTACTTAAGGTATTACTAATGGCACATTTTTATTTAACAAATCTTACCGCTGAAAGTTTGAATATTTTTCTTTTGCGCCAGAATTCATCTGGTCCACGACTTCTTACAAGACGTACTAAAGTTTGTGACACCATTTTTCAACAACTATAATTTTGTTACAACTTTTGATTTAAATAAATATTTGAAAAATTATTTATGGTTAACATAACCAATAAAGAAACATGCAATCAGCTGGCCGAAACAGACAACAGGGTTGAGCTTATTAATTGGTTTATCATCCCTGACATTAAGGTCTTATATAAATTAAAAATTGATATAAAACTCTAAATAAAAGAGTTTCTGCATTAAAAATATTATGAAAAGGACTTTTATTCTGTAACCATATCGCAAAAGAACAAATAAAATAAGCACTGCTTTCGATGGCAACTCTGGATGAAATAAAAATTTTGTTAAGCATATATAATATATATTACATATATATAATATGTATGCAAAACGTATAATAAAATTTCAAGTTAAAATCTGGAAAATAAATAATAATTCTTTGCAATTATTAGTAAGAATATTCTTTTTTACGTGATTGTAAATAAAATATGAGTTTTCAGGCTTTTTAACAGTATAATAAATAAAAAAAAGTAACGTACTTGTTAGGAATAATGACGACAAGAAATACGAAGCATTAACGAAATCATTCCTTGACAGTTAACTGGAAATTTCGTGTGAACTTCCAAAAATCGTTCAGAATGGACGAAGTTTTAATTTTGGCAACCACGCGATTTGAGCTATTTATTAGTTAAACGTTTTCAAAAAGCTGCTTTAAAAAAATAAGCCAGCAGTGTTGTTATTTCATATGTTATTTTTAAAACAAACAGTTGTTATTTTGTGATATGCTTACACCAGGTATGTGCTGTGCAGGTTCACCACCTGAACCATTATTAACTTGAGTATCAAGTGAAACAAGTCAATCTAAAATTTTTTTGAAAAATATACTCAAATACAATTCATGCTTTCAAATAACATCGTGCAGAGCAACGAATATCGTTAGCACAAATTATATGCCAACATTTAAAGTACAAGAGCAAATTTATCACCATGCTGGATCATTAAAAACCGTCATTTAACAGGCGGTCTAAACAAAATGCTGTTAACTCAAAATAGAAGTCAATCTATGGCAGGACAACGTCTGCCCGAGGTTACTAGTATATAAATTAATTTAAAAATTTTAACGAAAAATACTAAATAAGTACAATAAATCAATAAATAAATATTTACATAAGTGCAGTGCAAAAAATCCCTAGGAAATTTTATTTAATTTTACCTCCATTTACTTAAATTCGCAGACGGCCTTAATAAAAAAATATTATTATGGTCCTTGGTGAAAAAAGGTTGGAAGCCACTGGTTTATTGTGTTTATTGTGTTATGTCAAAATTTAAGATATGTAAAGTGGCATCTTTGTTTGCTTGTCATATTTTTATTTATAATAAAGTAGTTTGCAGATTAGGTGCGTATCAACAATTAAAATTTCGAATGATTGTGAATAGAGTTCTAAAAATTAATACTTTGGTTAAAAATGAATTTTTAATAAAATAAAAGGTAACAAATTACATAGATTTAATTTGCATGATTTGTTAAATAATGAATTGAAGATGTAAACAGTTTTGGCATATTAAAATATACTGATTTTAGCCTTTCAAACTAGCGACTGAATAAGTGACTTTTTAATAATTCAACTATATGTTCTTATTTCGTTAAATGCGTCAGGTAAAGTCAAACGTCGTTTGCGGACGAGGACGTGGTTGATGGTGACTCCAATTAAGTTGTTTGATTTCGGTATTTTATGTGTACTATGTAAAGTCTTACTCAATAAGGACGGGTGTATGAAACTGTGCAGTTGTTATATTAAGTGGTTTTGTGCTTACATTAGTAATAATTGTAGAGAAAAAATCTGGAAATGCTCAAAGCAAATTATAGTTTATATGTTTTATATTGGCTTGGAAATAATTCCTGCATGCGCGTGCCCTTCACTATCGCTGATAAATTGAAATATATTGATGATTACTTTTGCTTAGAGATTATTAATTAGCTTAACTGAAACTGTCTGATATTAATTACACTAATATCCCGATTTGTGTCACTTTGATTTGCGTTGATTCGTATTGCGTCACCAAAACAAAAAAGAAATAGTTTGGCTTCGAATTGCGTCGGTTTTCAATACATGCATACAGAGGGTACTCCCATTATATTTCTTGTAGGTTACATTTGTTAAAAGGGGACTCACTTGTATTAAGCTTTTAGGTAAAAGGTGTCAGTTTACATTTGTGTGGTAAAGTGAAAAGACAAATTTTTGCTTTATAAAGTATAAAAATGAGTTTAAAGTGAAAACAAATTTCCTTGGAACAGAAGTTAAACATTTGAAAACGCTTCAAACTTGAAGAAAAACCTGCTGACATTGAGAGAATTCTATGATTAGCTGCAACAACTGTAAGAACAATTTGTTATCGTGATGCGGACAAGATAAAGAACTATGGATAAGCTGTTACACATTTGCAGCCCAAACAAGTTACAAAAACTAAAAGTTCATTGATTGTAAAAATGGACTGCCTTCTATTCATTTAGATAAAAAATCGGAATCAAAGAGAAATGCTATTGAGTTAAATGTTAATTTAGAATTAAAAGGTAATTATCCATCAACAAGTGGTTAAAACCTAGAATATTTTTGGAATATTTAATTGGACCATATTTTATCGGTCCCATTTAGCGAAGTAAATCGGGGTATTAGTGTATTGAAGCAAAAAAATTGTTCAAGTGAACATAGAGGAAAAAGTATTATTCATGAGTGATAACTTTGGTTGATTGATGTTTCGGAGTGGAGTTATTGGCACTCTATCTTGAAATTCGGTAATCTGGGCACATTAACTAGATCATGAAATTATGTTGGAAAATAAAATACGTCACATTTGTTCATCGCAAAGTTTATAGATTTGTGTTTGATTGTTATATCTGTGAGCACGGTAATCGAGTAACATTGTAATACTGTAAACAACATACAACAAAATATATTTAGTCTAAATCGGTTTCCAAGCTCGTCACGCGAGATCGTGAATACCACTATTATTTTATTACACATAGAGATACTTAGATGTGCATATTTATAATGCAACAATAATCAATCGAAAACAATTCATGAAAATAAATGTTCAATCTGTGAAGTTCATCTACTGTAATCTCACGTTAAAATAAATCCTCTTAAATCACATCTTAAACTGTAGTCTAGTATATCTAGGCATATTCTATCAATAGTTTATAAGGGTAGTATCATTTTATAGATTAAATAATTTTCATGCATTCAATACATTTTACACATTTTCTATATTATTTTTCAGATGAAAAGGTTGAAGCGATACTTGCCGTTCATAAATTTTATAATTGAAAAAAGACCAGAATTACGTGAGAAATTTATTGTTATTAAAACTTCGATTACAACAGAGTTAAGGTATTATCCACGCATTTTAAAATTTATTTAATTTGTGTTATAATTTTATGTTGGAATGAATAGGGTCTCCATTCAAGTTATAAAAAATTCCGAAAATGTGTTTTTATTCCACTACAACAACCTAAAAGAAGTGTTTGCAATTCCGGAGGAAATAAAACAATTGTTTGAGATAACACAATATGATTTATCGTCAGATGATGATAGCGATGTTGAGATAATCGAAGATAATACATTAGATGAAGGTAAATTAAAATAAATGATTTAATTTGTATTGTTAAATTACATATATGTAATATAAATATTCGTAGCATGTACACTGAACAAACCGGATGCGGTAGCACTGAATCAGAAAGAAAACGTAAATATCGGAGCTAAAGGTGCAGATGCTGTGTCAAAAGATAAATGTCATTTACAAAATGAAAAAGTTACTGGTAATTCTCCTATTTGTGTAGTTAAAAAACATTATCTTACCATTGACGTTGTTGCGCTTCATTACTGCTTGGAATATTTTAATAAATATTTTTTTTTTATAAATATACATAGCGTGCCAACCGGAAGAACCATCTGAGGTACCACCAAAACAAGACAATTTTAATGTCGGAGCTGAATGTTCAGGCACTATTTTAAATGACAAATGTCTACCGAAAAAGGACGTAATTAACAAAAATAATGACAAAGTGACTGGTAATTCTTATTTTTACAACTTTTTTGTGTACATAACTGTAAAGGTTAAATCTTACTTATATAAATAATCGCAGCTTGTAGACCGGAAGAAGCGTGTGATGTAGCACTGAAGAAGCAAAAGAACTTTAATGTCGGAGCTGATGTGTCAGGTGCTATATCAAAGGACAAATGTCTCCCGGAAAACATAGTGATTAACAAAAACAACAAAAAACTGACTGGTAACTCTATTCGTTTTTGTATAGATAACTGTAAAAGTTAAAATCTTATATAAATATTAGTAGTGTGTAGACCAGAAGAATCATGTGAAGTAGTTCCGAAGCAGCAAAAGAAAACCGAAGTTAAATGTACAGGTGCTAAATCAAAAGAAAAATGTTTTCCACATGAGCCCAATAAGGTAACTGTGTACCAACAAGAAACCTTACATGTTGGAACTGAATCTGTAGACTGTACATCAAAAGAGACACCTGTTTCACAAAACGAAGAAGGGACTGGTAAATCTTTTCACATTTGTATACATAATGTTACAACTTAATATCTTTCTCTTACAGTTACAGTCAGTAGACCGAAAGATTCGTGTGAGAAGGGACCATTGATGCAGCAAGATAAGTTAAATACCGCAGTTGAACATGTAAGCGATCTATTAAAGAAGAAATGCTTCCCGGAAAATAAAATGTTAAATAAAGAAAATGAAACATTTAATGAAACCAGTTCAGGTGAACATTTTTATTATACTTTGCTGAAAATCTTAGTATGTTAAATTAAAAATTTTGAATCTTTTAACGATAATGTTGGAATTATAATTATTAGCCATTTAAATTATTCGAGAAATACGAAGCTTGAGCAGTTTAAGTACATTTGTAGATACTCAAGCTAATCGAAGATGCTTAAGCTATCTGAACAGCTGTTTCACTTTAGTTCACTGTTTCCTTTTATATTCGCTATGTTTTCCTGCATATTATTTTCGAACAACTTCAAGCAGCTCGTTCTACCCAATTTTTGAAGTCTTTCCGCACACAAACCTCCGACCAATTGACCTTTGGATCAACCCAATTGAAGTGGTCAGGTTCCTCCGTCTAAACCCTGGTTAATGTTTAATTAAATCCCACCTACTCATTTTACCATATCCTCATTCCCTCTCCATAACCCCCGACCACTACTCACTCTCTTTCCCAATCATGTAATCGGCTTGCATATTCTTTCATGTTATTTGCTTACAGGTTCCAGCGGGTTACTAGAACTACAATAACCAAATGTTCGAGAATAAAATGCTCAAAGCTTCGAAAAGTTCGAATATTATTTGAAACAGTAGTGTACACATATTTTCTATATTTTAAATATTTAGATTAAAAAGCAAAAATTTGTGCTAATACTTTTAAAAATTATAATTATTATTATTTAAACCATTAACTTTAAACCTTTGTATTACCTTTTTATTATTTATATTATATAAACAGATAATCCGAAAACATCTGATAATGAACCCTTTTGTGTTGAAATGAACCAAGTAGACTCTGTTCTGGCGAAAAAAAATTCAATAGGAATTGAAACAATAGTTTCTAAACATGATGTTAATACTAAGAAACATGATTCAGGTAGTTTTTATGCTGTATATTTTAAGTGTTGTAATAAACTTATTTTTTTATGTAGATACTTTTGCCAACAATAGTAGCTTATCTAATATTAGAGCTGATGAAAATTTGAAGGAAATGAACTTAGTGAACTTAAAAAATTATTTTACTAAATTGTCTAATACTATCAGTATTGGACAAGAAGAAATTAATAATTTTTGTTTAGCATTCAAAAAATCTAGTAAGTATAAGAAAAATAAAAACAGACAATTGATTTTATCATTCGAATTAATTTTTTTAGATGTTCCAAAAATCAATATAAGAGATCCACGAATAAATAAATTATATGAAAAAACGTCTGAAAAATTGGTAAAAGACAACATTCTTAATAAAGTACAACAAACATGTGTTCCATCTGAAGATACTCCAGAAAACCCGACCAAAACTAACAAACACACTAGCGGAAACAAAGCGAATTCGGAGGCCACTAAGAAAAAACATTCAAAAAAGAGTGAAAAGAATATAAGTTTAAGGGAACTTCTATCTTTAGAGTGTACTTTTAAAGGATTTAATGACAACAATTACCTGCAGGCAAGAAGTCGAAAGAGAAGATCAAGTATATGTGCTCGCTCTGCAATTGCTCTACAAATTGGCAATATTGAAACTGAAAATATAAATAATAATTCGAATGAAGACTTAAGTGAATTAAGTTCTTTCAATCAAATCCCACCTAAACGAAGAAAAACTGTTGATTCGATAGAGAACAAGAGTGATACATCAGAAGAATTAAGTAAAAAAGGCCAAGAAAAAGAATCACTACTGATGAAAATGACGAGTAGATCGTTTGCAGAAGAAGTCCCGAAGAATACCAATATAAACTTTGAAGTGGCAAATACTGATATTAACATGACTGAGAAAAATACTAGAACTTGTGTACTGTGCAAATCTAACGCGCATAATTTAACGAATCATTTCATAAGAAACCATAAAGCCGAATCATATACATCGCGTTTAACAGTTGAAGAAATAAATGATTTAAAATCTCCTTTAACACTCTCAGAACGAAGTTATAAACTTGTGAATAACAAATTCCGAATGCCATGCATATTTTGTTATAAATACATAACAAGCACACGTCTGTATGATCATCTTTCGACGCACACTGGGGAATACGCATACCAGTGTAGTGTTTGTAAAATGCAAAAACCATATCGTAATGAAGTCGAAAGCCATCAACAAAGTGCAAAAAATTGCAGAAATTCCAGAGTTGGAATTCTTTATCGTTACCCTAAAAACCAGTTAGTTATACATATGTACGGTTGTAAAATATGTAATTTTGTACAACTCAACGAAGCTAATGTACTTAGACATTTGCGCGTACACCATCAAGTAACTGAATCTAATGGCAATATAAATCAAAATGTTTCAAAATATATATTGGCTGTCATAAAACTTGAAGACGAGAACATTCAAGTCCATAATGAAGCTTGTGGTGATGTGATGGAATCCGGCGAAGAAGACTTGGATATGATATTTGAAGATACCAAAGAAAATATTTTATTATTAGATCAAGTTAATGATCTTCCAAGAGAGAACACTTGCTTACAGGAAAATAACTTAGACCAACAGTGCATGAGTGAAGATACTAATAATGATGAAATGGCTAGTTCCAGTACAAATGATTCGCTAAGCAATTTATATTTAGCCAAGTACAGAATTTATAAATACCAAGACTATTTTGGATTATATAAGTGCGTAAATTCAGAATGCTTTTTTTCAACTGATTTAAGAGAGGAAATGCTCAATCATATAAATGATCATATCCCTAGTATCAATCAAGAAAATGGATTTGAGTGTTATTATTGTTCTAATCACAAACACTTAAGTTCAATAAACGCTTTAACCGATCATATATCTATCAAACACATATTCAGTCGTTTTCAATGTCCAAAGTGCAGTTATCGAAGTTATTCGCCAGGCAGTGTGTTAATCCATTATCAGAAAATTCATGGTGACAACGAAAATGTTACTGTGTATGAATGTTATGGGAAAGTTATTCCGGTTATTAATAGAAAGCCTTACATGATAAATGCCATGATGAATAATGTTCAAAAGCTAGCTTGTTCACGTAAGTAAAAATATATAATATGCTAATTTTACAAACTGCTATTGTACTCGAAATGCAGTGCTAAAAAAGTGTGCAGAGGTTTTTAAAAATATGTATTTCTAACAATGCCGTATGCCGTCTATTGGCAAATATATGCGTGGGGAAGGTAGCTTCTTGCTGCTAAAATTTCATAATATTTGAATAAATAGAAGTGGAATTACTGAGTCTGTACTGATATTATTTCAAGATCTCGGTGCAACCATTCTATGTGTGTTATGAATGGATACTGTCGCTCGATGCCAAATTAGGTGAATATGTCGGGAGGTTGACAATTAAAACACTATTCTTAACCAAAAGTTCGGTAATATGTGTCGATTGATCAAAACAATTATTGATTGTTAGTCAATTTGCGCCAAACAACCGTGACATGTTTTCAGCAACCAAAATATTTGATTGAAATGTGAAAAATTAGTGTATTTGAGGTACTTAATTTCAATTACTCAAACGCCAGGAAAGAATGCTTTGTTCTTTTATGAATTCATTGATTTATGAATTCTTGAAGTTTCAGTAGAGTCTGCAGTGATCACGATTTTGTTTGAAAAATAATTTGTCACCATTTATGTGACAAAGACTCACTTCTAGTCTAGGATAACACTCACGAACGTTGCGGCAAAAGTTTGACAAAGACTACAACAAAACTTATTTTATTCATCTCTCATTTCTGTACAGATAATAAAGACATACTAATTCTGTTCCACGAGCTACTCGTAGTAAGTTTAAGTAGCACTGTGTATACACAAGTGCGTTCTACCAGCAAATTTTGGAGTAAATGAGAGCATCTGAGAGAGCGTAACATCCCTGTCGAAATTTAAAAATGCTACACAGACTTTACTCATACATTTTACTTCAAGTAAATTTTGTATTGATGTGTGAATCAGATGTTTTGCTTTGTATTTAAATTTTTTGTATTGTTTATTTGCGTGGAACTGGTGTTCTCATTAGACTTTACACAAAACTGTTCCATGAAAATATGTGAAAGAGCGTAATTTAGAACTTTATTGTTTTACGCGCTCAGTTTGTACTTTGTTTGTGTTTTACTCCAGTTTTACTACGAGTAGCTCGTGGGAGAGATCTACTATCACTTCGAACCCAGTACTTTCGCTTTTAATTGTGCAATTATCATGACACTGTATCAGTGAACAATCTATATATACTATTAACGCATATAACTGACAATAGATGTTATCACTATAATCACCTATATTTAAAAATTTCTGTTTATTTGGTACTCTACCTTATATGATATATATATATTCTTAAATGATTCGCAGATTGTGAAATGAGTTTCTATGCTGTATCGTATTTGGAGCAACATTTACTAGCAGTTCACAGCAAAGAAAGCAAATGTAATGACTATCCAATGTATGCGTGCATATATTGTGGTGTAAACTTTTCAAATATCAATCACATACGAGACCACATTGCATTAGAACATCCTGACGAATTAGTTTACGCTTGCGAACGTATATTGCTAGCCGGATCTATGGTAACATTATATAACACGTTTACTAATTAATAATATTAATATTTCTATAATTTAGGATGATCTTTTGAAAAATTTGAAAATGTCTGATATATCTCTACCGCTGAGTTCAGAGAATATAATAGTTAAGAAGCAAGAAAATAAAGTGGATAATCAGATATCAGATAAAAGCGATACAAATAAATCAGAAAAAATGGTTTTATTGGAGAATATAAAACCAAGTAAAGAAGATATTGAAAAAATTCATATCGATATGATAAGGCCATTGCTGTGGAAAATAACATCAAAGTCTGGAGTTCCGCCTGACAGAATTTTTTGTTGCAGCAAGTGTAGTGGGATATTTTTAACTTATCATCGTTTACATTGTCATTTGATTAAAAATCATTCCTCGTGTATTATGTTATGTCCACATTGCATGGTTAAAACGGAACTAGATTTCACACAATCGAAGGATTGTGAAAAACATTTAGAACAGCACATAATGCATCTATGGTTATGCTTTCATTGTGGCTACACATGTAAGAATGAGTCGGATTTGCGGTCTCATGCAATGATGGTACATGAAGCGGAAAATAATGAAATATTGGAAGAACTTCCTTTAAATACAGTATTCTCGTTTAAAATTTATGTGAAGAAAGAATTGAGTACGAACCGCTTAGATTTCCTTATAGAGTTAAAAAAAATGTTAGAAGTTCATTTAAAAGCAAAACAAACAACAATTCCTACAAAATGGATTCTAAGTGCAAACAATCAATTTATAGAAAATTTTCCAAAGTATTGCTATACGGAAAAATCACTCAAAGTTTGTTTTTTTAAAAATTGTCCATTCAAAACAGAAGACACTGATGAACTATTTAAGCACATTAACGCAACCCACCAATTTACCAAAGCATTGCATTGCTCGAAGTGTGTTACTAACATTACCAGTAATGGTGGTTGGGAGGAATTTGAAGAACATTTCAAATGTCATTTTAGCAAATTGTATGTTTGCTGCTTATGCAATTATTATAATTACGACCGTCAATGCGTAATAACTCATATAAAAACGGAACACAGTCAACGTGACACGATACTCATAACTTTAATTAGATCTAAAAACAATACTCACATGGGTATAACGATAGTGTTGGGCAAAAATAAATTAAATGTGTCTTCATTCATCGGATGCTTTGTTGAAAATTGTGAGGAATCGAATTTAATACCTAACAAATTTGTTACACATTTGAGTCAGTCTCATAATATTCAGTTGCAGTATTTCTGTGAAATATGTAATGAATATTTTCAATGCTTCGATGCTTCAGAAATTCATTTTAAGAGCAAACACATGTCGGATCAATTCGCGGTTCAACTGGAATTATCTACATATAATAACATAGATTTGGTATCTGGAAATCCATTTAATCTAAAAATCAACAGCAACGAAACACTCAACTTGGCTAACACCTTGGCGCTTAGCAAGGTGAAAGAAGAAGTTATTGACGCAGAAATTAATAATTTACTTACTCAGCTAGACGCAAATGAAAACAAAAAAAATCCTATAAAATGTATTGATATCAATAAGTTATTATCAAATGAGTCAAAAGGATGTCCCTAATTAAAGCATCAAAGGTTTTTTTTAAAATTAATTTTTTCATTTTGATTTTGATCAGTCGTAAGATTCTTTTTACCCAAAGTTTATGGAAATAAAACTGTAATATATTTACTCATCTGACATAAAATGTATGAATTTGTTTCACAAAGTGAATCCTTACGTCCTATATATAGACAAATTTAAACGTAAATAAAATATTTACAAAACTAATTAATTAAAATGTCAGAATGTTCTTAGTTATGTATAATTTAATAAATGGCACAAATTTGATATGCCAAAATGAATGTGATATATTACAATGAATCAATATGTATATAAATATACATATATATATATTATGTTAACACATGACAGTTTTCGACAAGCAAAATAGTTTTACAATTTTTATATATTTGCTAATATTAAAAAGCATTCAAAATCTTCTGTTAAACACTCTGTTTGTTTGTTTTTTGTTTTAATACAAACAGGGTCTAGAATTTATACAATTTAAAAATGTTTTTTGCAAAATTTGTTACATTTTATCATTTTTATAAATAAGATTATTATTTCTTAAACAGATATATTAGTTATTTATAATACCTTCTCTTCGGTTCTGTTGTAGACATCTTGGCAATAACATAGAAATATAAATATATGTAATTTGCCTCTGTTAAAACAATCATGAGTCCTGTAAAGTTACATGAAACTGGGAAAACCATATCTATTCAAACATATAAACTATCCAATTTATTATTTCATGTATTATCACTAATATTTAGTTAGTGTAGTTGCTAACAACACTAATAGCAACCTAATAGCGAACCAAGACATTTTTCGTAGACAAAACTATATAGAAAATACTTTAATATCAGAGCATGCATTTGCGTAGCACCTATTTTATGTTTACGAGTGAAGCTAAAGACGAAGCAAGTTTTTTTTTTTTTTGGTACGGACTGGACAGACCATAATAATTTTAATTAGTATAATGTAAATGTAATATAACATAGAAATATAATGAAAATATATAGAATATATTTATGTTTTACATATATATAATAAAAAGTAAACATTACAAAAAGTTAACAATTTTATAGTATTATTGTAAAAGGATATGAATATCCTCAAACGTGCCTTATTCCACGTTTTGTTTAAATAAAAAAGTAATAATTTTTATATTTTATATGTATTTTTTTATTAATTGGATCACTATTATTAAGTGGAGCTGGTTCAGAGATTTCGCTTATTTCTACTGTATATATATTTATTTCACTGATTATTATCACTCGGACCCTGGGAGCGCGAGAACACAAGACAACATGTCTCATTGCATTTGACTTAGAAAGTGCCAGCGCAATCATTATCGAATATATGGTAATCCAAATTGTTGCGTATCCTCCTCGTAGCATATTTACCTGGCGCCCGGATAGTTACCTGGCGTCCGCTGGGTAATGAATTCATAGCGCGTATTGCGAGTCCTATTCCCAGGACTTTAAGTTTGGATTCTTCAGCCGAAAGTGAAGATATATTTTAAGTATAATTCAAGTAAATTTTATGCAGCAAGGAATGATAACTCGATCTCACCAACTTTCTCAACTTACTTCAAAACAATATGGTATACATCAAGTAACTTTTTACTTAAATTTTTGAGCTGTAATTATGACTTCATTTTTGAACTATTGTTTTTGATATTTACTAAAAAGACTATAAAAAAAATAAAGAAAAAAGTTTTTTAATGACAAAGTAAAGAAAAAAAACCGAATATATGATTTATTAATGGTTGTCGAATCAGTGATTATTTTTAGTTAGAAAATTGATTGACCCAAACACTCATATAAATAAGAATCAGCATTGGTAGTAGTATTTGGTTTCTTATTTTCGTTTTTGTTACAAATGTTTTGCTGAATGTTAGCTTAACAACAGCGTAGCTCATTAGCAGCGTAAGATTATAATGGCGAATGCAGTCAATACTTGAAAGATTGACTTCCACTAGAGTCGCTAAGTTAGTCTATCGCAAATCAAAAATTAACAGTTTATTCCTTAAAATCTAGAGATATGTCTTGTATGCTTTGGATTTCTATTTGTTGCTATTCAATTTCTGTTACTATGGATAAATCCCTTAGGACCATGTTAAAGTGACAGTCATATTTCTTTTTGGTCATGACCAAAACATATGTTAAAAGACGTTACAATTGTCACTTTCGTACATTAACTATTACTTTGATCCCTTTTTTGCTTAAATGCAAAAGGTTTTCATTTTTATGTGGATATGCTTACAAATCCACACATAAATATATATATTTTACAATTGATAGGTATAAATTTTAACATTTACTGCTGTCTAACATGACAAGACCTAAAAAGCGTGGTCACCGTAACCAAATTTTAATTATAAATTCTCTTTTTCTCATTTTCAATTCTTTAATTGACATTAAAAACAACAACAATATATATTTAACATGATCATGATTATGTATATAACATGGGCCTTAAGGAAGTATTTATTTAATAAAGGCAATAATTTCCAAATTTTTATGGAATTGTTCTTTGGGAACGATGTCTTTAGCTATAATTATATTTTTGAATCTTTCCAATACTACTTTTTCTGTAAATTTACCTATAGCAGGCAGCTAACTTATAGGTCTCCAATTTTCAGGGAAAAAAGTCCTTTTTCAGGATTTAAAAAGATTAATATTACTGCAGATTTCCAGATTTGAGAGAATCTGGAGATAGTACTGCATTAATTATATTTTTGATTCTTGTTATTACTGACAACGGAAGATTTTTCAAACACATGTTATTGATTCTATCTTGTTCAGGGTTACTAGTGTTGCTTAACTGTTGCTAATGTAATAGTTGTCATGTAAACAAACAATCGAAATAAATAGAATAAATAGTCTTCATGTACAGATAAAGATTCTTTTAATTCCCAATTGGGTTTGTGAAAACACTTCTGTAAAGATGAGCGATCAGGCAGAGTTGGAACAATTAGCTGAAGCGGAGTTGCAGCGTTTGCAACGACAGGTTGATAATATTCCTTTTGGTTTCTTTTTCTGAAATTCATACTATAAACTCTTCCAAGTTGCGTTCACTTCAATTGAGTATGAGACATTTTTTGGAGTGTAAGGAAAAGCTTCTTAAAAAACAAAATCACAGGATAAGTCTGCTGCAACAGGAGCACAATGAGATCAAGAATGAAATCAATACAATGGAAAGTGGCACACACGCTAGAAGGAATGTCTATGTAAGTATACTCTTTGTAGAAATTCCTGTTCCTTCAGAATTACTGAACTGTGTTTTTAGAAAGAGAAAGAGCTTTGTCTCATGCAACATCAGAACGAAGATTTACTGCAGCTGCTGAAGAGCGAACGTACAAGCTTATGGGAATTGGATAGCCATATAAAGAAAGTGAGTAGGATATTTGAAGCGTTGTATAATAAATGATTATACATGAAAATATTATGCAATAGATCGAAAAGGAAATGCACGCTTTGCGTAAGAATGAGGTTACTGACAGCTGTTATAAGGATACAATACATAAGGTGAAGAAAAGTGTGGTTAAGCTAGAGAATCGTTTAGATGTTGTTAATAAAAAGTGCAGCGACGTTCTAACTGAGAATAGTAAACTTCGTGAAGCTATTAATCATATGCTACAAGATCGGTAATAAGATTAGTAAAAACCAATTGTTAGGACAAATTTTATTTATTCGTTTTTTGGTTATTTAACTCCTAGCGCTAGTTTCAATGAAATGTGGCAGTCTATGGTTACACAATACAATGATGGTAAAAAGTATATATTAGACTTGATTGATCAGTCGACCTTGGCATTTGATCAGCGTGAGGAATTGTGCAATAAATTGCAGGTGTTAAAGGATCGTAACGAAAATGATAAGCTAATGCATATACAGGTGTATTCTTAAAACATTTATTTATATTATTTATAATACATATAATTATTTCATTGTTTTTGTGAAAATAGGAAATGCGAGAAATGCAAAGACGTCTGGAACATGACGCAAAATTACAAAAATTTTTTGATATTAAAGGGCAAAAACGCTTGAACCCGGAATTAGAACAGCGAGAACTTGACAAAAAATTAGCTCAGAAGGAAAACTTTGAAAAGCAATTAATAAAATATAAAGAAATTGTTGAAAATATGAAGGTCATTAGTTTTTCATCATATTTATTATTAATAATAGGGGAACTGTAATAATTTTTAATTTATAATTTTTAGACTTTATATGAGGAAGAAAATACTGAAAAACTAGCTACTCAATTTAAACGACAAGAAGATGAAAATTTTGCCTTATTCAATTACGTAAATGAGTTAAGCCATGAAGTAGAAGTGCTGCATACTGCAACTCAAAATCTATCGGATGAGATCGGTTGGTATATTTTGTTTTCTATTTAATAACATTAAGAAACTATAATTTAAAGTCTTAAAGCATATTAGTGTTGTAGTGTAAATTAGTGTAAATCAATAATTTAATAATTCCTTTATATAATACATGCACCATTGTAGAATATTGAGACGCTTTCGATTTCCAGGGTATTTATATTTGACAATAGATTTTTGTAGACAACTATTTTGAATAACTATTTTCGCTACGCTATAATCACTGGCGTCTAAATCTATTGAATAAGGAAAATGGTCCATTATCTAGTTAAACATTTTTCTCTTTCCAAATGGAAAAGTTTTTTTGTTAATTAATATTCAGTAATGTTCATATTATAATATGCTCCAATTAAGAGTATAATGTAACCTTTATCAATACAGATATCCGACAACACATTCTTGCAAATCCAAAAAACAATTACCTTGAACCTGCTGGTTAACAGCATAGTTTTCGATTTAAACTTCGAATTTGCTTGTCTTTCTAATTTAAATTATAGTTCTGAAATAATGAATATGCATGAAAAATCCGCCGTGTTTTACCTACTAGAAGAACATGTCAACAATGCTCTATTTTTAACTCGAATAAATATAATTCGAGTTGTTCGAAAATATTCGAATATGCATGTCCTCGAACACTAGCCTTACTGTGGGCTTCTCAAATTTAGTCGAACACTATATTGTTTTTGAGCATTTATTTTTATGCGTATTTGTATAAATTATAATAAAAATGAAATAAAATATATATTTGATTTGCTATTCGAATAGCTCAAATATCTTTTAGCATTTCTGAACATTTGAAGCGTTCGAGTATATTCGATTCATTAGTTTTTAGTCTAAAGTTACATCTAATATATTGCAAAATTTATTAGAAATTTTATTTTTTGTGCTATTTCAATATTTTTATAGGTAGTGTCGGTTTTCGAACTCTACCGTCTACTGTCTTCATATAAACAAAAGAATCTTTTACGGTTTTACTATGCTATCCATTTGCTCATAAGTAGTTCATATTAGTAGTTTATTTTATTTTCTCTTAGAATTGCAAAAAGTTGATCAGGCTCAAAAAGAATTTAAGCAAAAAACGGAGGCTATAGATTATTTGAATACCGAATTGGAACGAGTAGAATCTTTAAGTAATGAAGCAAAGGAACAAAAATCTGAGATCAATGAACGTTTGCAGAATATGCTTTCTGGAATCGAGGAAATATTTAAGTTAATATTATATATGCGTTTATACATAACATAACTACACATATATTCATTATTATAGACTTTTATCGTGTGATGACGCACCAATTTTGAATGTGTTAAGCTCGAAGGCCTTTCTGACGGTACACAATGTTAAACTTTTTATTGGAGTTATTGAAAGGCGAGTTAATGTTATTGTTAATAACATAAATATTGAAGACTCATCAAAAATTTTGTGCAAAAAGGATCGTATACCAAAATTTAATATTAAAGAAACAACGAAGAAATAAAAACATAACTGAGTCATTATATATATGGATAAATATACTATCACTATAATCACTGCTAGCCATAAGGCATCCAACCATGAAGTAATTAAATATATTAATATTGTATATTAACGATTTCAAATACAATAATTCGAATCTATTATTCAATTAAATGTAGTTTCGATGAAAGTTTGGAGTTTTATTAATTAAAAATATAAAACTGATTTAACATATTTTCTAAATAAAATATTCAAAAGGTCCTTTGGTTTACAATATCGCGAGGTAACGTCGGTATAGTGCTTTTTAAGTGCAGTCTTCTGTATTTCTTGCCTGACAATAGGTATTTCAAGTTTCAACGTAGGTCAGCATTTCGCACATACCACGGAGAGTTTACTACACACCTGAGTGCTTTGTTTTAGATTTTTTGTATTATATCTATTATATGCGTTTTTGCACAACCCCTAATTTCAACGCCATAGAGCCATATGGGCTTGTAGAATTGCTTATATAGCATAAGTTTGTTTTGCTGAGAAACTTTGGACGTCTTTCCAATAAACCAAGTTAGTTTTTTTTGGATTAAATATTCAACTCAGTTTTTTCTTGACTTGTGGCTTTCATTTCAGTTTGGCATCTAGGTTCATACCTAGATATTTTGCAGAATTAGCAACGTTATTTAGAAACAATTTAGTTTGAGTTCCTCTTTCGTTAGTATATATTGTCGACGTGGTTAGACTTTAAACTATTTACTGCCAGTTTTCATTTATTAGTCCATTGTTCAATTTCTTAAAGAGCGGTTTGTAGCTAGGTAGTAGACACGTTGTTATTTGGATCTGAAACCATTATTACGGTGTAACGTAGTTTTTTATCTTCTTCTTCTCCATCTGCATTAAATTGATGAGTTAAGGCATCAGAAAAGGTTTTTTGGGCTTGACAATGATGTTATTTTTTATCCCTATATCAATGTTGTTGGTTACTGTATTAGGGAGATTTTTGGTACACTTTAGGGAGGTCCAAGAAGATCTTTTGTAAAACCTTTTATTTGAGTCATAGCAATTCTAATTTATTAGAAATTTCAACAACTTCTAGACCGTAGAGGAAGCACAGCGTAGTATGAATATTACAGTTTTCTGACTCTCACTGTAGAGTTTACAGGAAACACTGTCATCTAAACCTGTTTTTTTAATAGTTTGTATATGAGTTTACAGTGATATGTCATTAATTCATTGTAGATAACATTTCTTATGTGTGGATTAAACAATTTTCAATTTAGTTTTTTAGACTTTTTAGGGATCCATTTAGTTGTTCTTCGCGTGTGCGAATTAAGTTATTTTTTTTTAAATTATTATTAACTCTATAGAATGATTTCAACCCTTGACAGTCACTAAACTGGTAAGTGATAGGTAAGTGAACATGTTTTAATATATAAACGCAGAATTTTAAAATTTGAAGTACATTCAAAATTTTTATTAATTTTATTAAACAATTTTTTGTATGATATTGATTTATGTTAGAATTTCTTTAATGTAAGCAATAACATATGAAGCTCACAATTGCTGTCTTTTTTACATTTGTTTTTCTTAGATATTAAATCAACGTTTTTATAGAAATTGCACTTCCACAAATTTTATAGGTGCCTTTTGCGCTACATTAAACAAAGAAAACACTTTTGGGATATGTGAGACATAAAAATTAACTAATTAGTATCAACGATCAATAAAATAATTGCTCTAGTTTTTCTTTCTCAGGTTATATTAATTAAGAATTTTAGATAAAGTTACAGATTTTATAACATTTTTGCTTGGTTAAAATTATAAAAATAATGGTTATAAAACTTTTTAAAAGCAACAATAATTGTCTTGATTAATTTTTTAAATGACTTTTAAAAATTTTTTAAAAGAGATTGATTTTCAAATTTTCATATAAATATATATAGTACAAATTATTTCTTTTTTATAAAATTATTTACTTTTTAAATTTTTTATATTTTAAAAAATTTGATTTACTTAATGTGTATTTATTTACTATATTTTTTTAACATACATAAATATTAAAATATATAAAATATAAGAAAGGCTTTACATAATTAAAATTAAGGTCACATAAACTCTCCACAGTCTGCTTAAATTACCGCTGAAATAAGCTCCATAATTTGTAACTTGACACGCGTTTGGCCAATGAAGCAGCAGCACTGCTGGAGCCTTGTGTCACTGAGGTCGAATTTGCTCTATTGTTGTTGATCATTTTAGAACGCATCTGATCGTTGATGAGTTCCTGCATATCCATCTATATGAAGCAAATTATAATAAGCATTTTTCTAGTAAATGCATTTGAGTAGACACTTACCTGCCACTGTTCCAGCTGTTGTGAGAGCTCAACTTTTTGCTGAATCGATTCTAATAATTGGCTATTTGCTTGCATGAGCTCAACTCGCGTCTTGGCTAAATCCACTTCAGCTTTTGTGCGTCGCTCGTTTGCTGCATCGCGCTCGGTTTGTGCTTTGGCTAGTAACTCATCACGATCTGTATTATCATCAAGATCACCACGTGCTTGATCACGTTCCTCTTTTACGTTTTGTAGTTCAACATCAGTAACAGTAAGCTACATAAATATGCAAATAATGAAAAATGATTTTTAAAAATTTCGTATTATTCGATTTGTAAGTAGTTTATAATAATAAGAGACAAACTAACTAACTAACTAAAAATAAAGTGTTTTATCCGTAGGGAGTGGATGTCCGTAGATTCCAAAGATGATTTCTTGTTTCAAGAAATTAAAAAGAGGTAATTATTTGGAAGAGTTAATTTCTAAGTTTTTTTTTTTTTTTTTTTTTTTTT